GCATTTTATTAAAATAATTCTACCACCATTTAATTTTACAAACTCTTCCGTCGCCATTGGTAAACGACACGAAATGCCTTGCAATGTTTTATCTAATTTGATGGTGTTATCTGCACAAAAACATTACGTATTAATATTCTCAAACAAACATTATTGAAGCGATCGAAAAAAATTCCACCTAATTTTTAACGACGGTCGAATTAACCATCCATGTAATCTGCTCTTAACATTAAAGGCACTGATTTCTTGGCGTGAAAATGTAACTTTACCTTAGAGTGTGCGTATAAATATTATTAAGCCTCAGACCTGTGAGAAAACATTAAAAGTTCTTCGTACTTCTCTCTTGTATAATAAAGCCACGTTACTTGACGCTTCAAGTAAAAGTGATTTTATTAGACTGAATTAATTAATATAATAGTTCCACAAATAAATGTTTTACATAATATTAAGTAAAGAAAACATTTAATTCATTATTTTCAATAAAATGAACAACTCTTATTAGTCCGGCCACAAAAGAAAACTTCAACCGGAATTTTTTATTTTAATATAATTATGTAAAATTCTTTGGTAATAGGAAAATTCACTTAGTGTGGATTAAGCTTGATTTTTAACTAGTAACTATTTAGTTAGTAAGAATCTCTCTCAGGGTTATTATGAATTTATAACCCTTCCTAAATATCTTTATATAACTCGATTCCTGCAAAGACAATATTTTATGAAATTCTTCTCATCACTTTTCCATGACAACGCTGAAAACTTGCAGTTATTATTGTTAGATTTGTTGTTCCTTTTTAACGTTCGGAAATGGTAAGGTATTGTTCGATTCTTTAAAAACAAAAAACAATATATATATTAAAATGTTTTCTTTTAAATAATTTTCAAAATAAAACATTAAACGTATCATAATGAATTGAGCAGGTTTATAAAGATAAGTAAAATAAACAATCTGTCCTTGAATACATTCAGTCATAGTGTTTAAAATTGATTAAAATTTGAAATTTCTAACAAACTAACTGCAAATTTCTTTTAGATTTTGCTCAATTATTCACAATACGCTGGTAGAAATGTCAGCGTCATTTGATGAATGAAATCCTAAAATGATTTCATTTGATCCTCCAGTCTTCGCATGTGAAAAATTCACGTTCTCTATCTACAGCATTACACGCACTAATGAAGAATACAACAATGGGATGCTATAGACGATGCAAGCATATTTTGTACAGAACAGGGATGAATATGTTACAAAATTTCAGCCTCGCTTCTGTACGACTTCAGCTATATTAAATCACCGGATACTTGGGGGTGAATTTCTTTCTTTTTATATGTCGTGTCCTTTCAGAATGTAGGCGATCATGGTTCTCCACTTCCCCCTATCCCTTGTGGCTCTCAATAAGTTTCCTTTCTTCCACCTTCCCCAGACCACATTCTATCATCCACTTGCAGGTATGTCATGCGTTGCTTTCTCTTGTCTTTCTTTCCTCCTATTCGATCTATTTCAGGGCCTCTTTTCTCATTACAAGTCCCAGAAACTTCATCTGCTTCTTCCTGATGTTAAGTATAAGACTCCTCCTTGTTTGCATCCTCTCCAAGATCTCACACGCTCGGTTCATGATTTCCTCAGCATCCTTCTGTAGAACCACATCTCCGTCGCCTCGAGTCTCTTCTTCATCTTTGAGGAGACCGTACAATATTCGCTGCCGTAAAGAAGGACAGATGTCTCGTAACAACTCAATACTCTTTTCTTTGTTACCAAATAAATCCTACTGTCTTGCGATACTCTGCCCAACTTTTGGAATGCGTCCTTCGCCATCCCAATACGTCTACACATCTCAGTGTCGCAATTACCATCCTCTGTCAAAACACTTCCCAGGTACTTAAACTCGGGGGGTGAATACAGTTACAAAACTATATATTAATCTACGATATTTAATTCTTGTAATAATAGCCTGATATAAAGGTTTTTTTAGTATGTTTACTCATTTTTTAAAGAAAATATCTTTTCAGTGTATAGACGATTTAACTCGTTTATTAAGTTCATTATTGCATCTAATGCACCGAACTGTTTTTATGATTATTAATGGAAAGTTCAGGAATATTAAATTTTGTTTTTGTTGCTGTTGTATTAGCGTTATATCTTCTTTAGTTTATTACTCTAGGCTAAATAATGTGTAATTGTGACTAATACATGCCAGTCTGATTAATTCACTTAGAAGGAAATTTATTATCCCTTCCGAAAAATGTCAACACAGTTTTCTTACTCTCAGAAGCCTTTCCACATTGTCTTATCATCTCTACAGTTATTAAATGAATTAGATTTCTTTTCACGGAATTATTATATTTCATATATTCTAACTGTATCATATAGGAACATGAACAACGTATTAACTTCTACTTCCTCCAAAATAGTAATCATTAAATTCTTCAAGGGCCGATTTAGACAAATATTAAGAAATTTATTTCCATGAAAATATAATGTACTTCTTTTCTTACGATATTTTATTTATTTTCATAATTTTTAAAACATTTTCAGCTGGAGAGACAAGGGCTTTTTATGCATTACTCAGTTATCAGTATTAAACAAATCGGTAGTTATCCATGTTTGTATCTTTTGATTTAATTTAAATAAGTAAAACATCAGGAAGTTCTTTGAATATGACTCACTTGATATGCTCAAAGTAGACTTCTGTTCAAATGTAAAAATGGAACTATGTAGACTGAATTAATAAAACTCTTTCTGGTCAGGAAATTGTATGTAAATCCATGATTACATGTTTGTATATGATTGAAGGATTGGTTGAATATAACCGTCTTACCTCCTACTTCTTTGCACCTGTAACTCATTTTACTCTACGGCCTCCCAGGTGAAAACCGTAACATGAAAATATTTTCTATTTTGCTTCTAGTCAGGTAAAGTTCATAAGACGTGAGTTGACAGTTTGAAAATGATGCTTACTCACTGATAAAAATGATGTAAGTTTAATCTTTCTTATCATATAAATATTGACTCGATATATATTCAGCGATGTGTGGTTTCGTGAGGAAAAATCATGCGTTCATTGTTGACCTGTTTATTGTAATGGAATGTTTTTGTCAGCGTTTACTTGAACATGCGTGCTTTTCTCATCAATTGTCTTGTCAGCAGCTCATCGCAATTATTTCTGGCGTTCGTATTCGACTTAACAGCAAGATCAGCAATTAAATGCAATATACTCCCAAGAGTTTCAGTTCAAATTAACCAAACAAATCAAATATTTAGGATTGTTTAGCAACGAATAAACTTCGAGAAACGTGTTCAGATTATTACAGTTTGAAGCGAGTTAGAATTGGTAATTATTCGTTTAAAGTAAAATTTACATTATTTTTCATCAATTCATGTTATGGTCTTCAAATTATAATTTCCGACTTTTAAGTATCGTTTTTTCTAAAATTTAATCAATGACACTAACAGGAAGTTGATTACCCAATATTAGAGAAAATCAGTTATTCAAAACGTATTAATACAAACATTCACTCAATGATCAAAAATGTAATTTCTGACGTTAATTACGTACGGGATTACAACTGTTTATTAATCTGCAGTTTATTTTGCTCGTAATAAATATAATTGAAAAACTTACGATCAGCTAGTAGACTCATAAATACAATGAAATGCAACATTGAAAAAATATACAAATCTACCTTTTTTTAATCATTTCAACTCCAAGTAAGGCGATAAAACCACTAAGACGAAAGGAGTTACCGAAAGTGAAAAAAAGAAAAAGTTATTGAGGAAAAAGAAAAAAAAGAAATGAAAAGGTTTCAAATATATGATAATTGACGTTGCATTAAACCTTTTGAAAATCGTAGGACCTAAAAGACGGATAAGAGATAAAAAGAGAGTTGATAGGAAAAGATGCGTGAAAAATGAGAAAAATAAAAACAATTATTAAAATGATTAAGAAGAAATAATCATCTAAATTAAATTACTGAGAAGTATTCCGAGGAAATATAATTTACAAATTCTATTTATCAAAAAAAGATTAATTCTTCAGTTTATTTCTTCAATACAGACGCTATACAATGTGACTGAGAAATATCGAGAGTTTAACTGTTATAAAATCTGTACAAATGAAATTTATTTTTCATATGGATGAATGTATTACTCTGTTTATACAGTCGCCCGTCCAGTTCAACCAAAAGTCTGTCTGTAGAGCACAAAGTCACAACCCAGTTTAAGTAGCAAGTATCTTGCACCGAATGCCGTTACTAAGCCAACAGTCCTTCTACTAGTGCTGGCTCTTTAATGGTGTTAGACACGTTCTGATTGAATTCTAGATCACCCAGTATTACGAGTGAAACTGACCTTGACCTGTGTAACATAATCAAATCTTGTTGCTGACCATATGTTTTTTGGGGCAGGTGGGTGATAGTTTGTTCTCGCAAGAAAATGCAACACTCAGCAATTGCAGGTACACACATTCCTGCGATAGGCAGGTTTAAATCCCACTGAGCTCCTATAGGACATGTTGCAGACGTCAATAAATTTCCTACAGCCACACTCAACCAATGCGTCAGTTTTTAAATGTATATAAATGATTGTAATATACATTGATTTACTTTTACTAGTATACTCATCTTGAGTTAAATCGTCACAACGCTTCAACTGTTGTAAATTCCGATCTTCCTTTTACCTGGTAACCTTCCAAGTATTTACAATTGAACACTTTATTCAGTCCACAATGCTAGATTGTTCGCATTCTGTTGTTAGCTTTAGGATATCCTGTATCACTTAATTCATTCTTATGATATTCTTCGTCTCCCACTGATCTAGAGTATATGGCATTTTGCACTAACCGACCCAGTGATTAAATCTCCAACTGCAAGGTATGTCAATTCGTTTTATCCAGTAGGTATCAGTTTAAAATTTTTAACTTCAGCAGAAATTTTTTGGAAGTGAATTTGAAGTTGGTTCGATTTTTAAATTGCTTTTTCTCATTGTTTGGATGGAAGAAAATGTAATTTTAATGTTTTTGATAGATGAATAGATACAAATAAACTGGTATTGAGACGAAGAGAAATACTGAAGGAAAAAAATGTGTCAGCTACACATATCCCAAGAGATAGTTTTCAATTTCTTTTGTAGCTTTATCTTTACGACATGTATTATTTTTCGAACATTTTCTTTCTATTTCCACCCGTGTATAGACAGAAGAGAGCGACAAATACATCAGATTTTTCGAGACGAAAGACTTCATTTGTAGAAACTATTGAAAGTTGAATCGAAAATCAAATATTGTGTTGTTAGCACGAAAAATATCTGCTGAAATTTGAAATAAATTTATTGTCTGTAATTCTTATTATTGTAGATTGTTTATTACAACCCTTTGTGGATTTTTCGCTGTGAAATTCCTGTTTTCAAATTATGCTCCCACAGAATCATACGTATATACGTAGGCCTGGCTTCAGTTCATACAGCCTATACAAGTTTGAAAATAAATTTTAATAGCAATTTAAAAGATTTTGCCAGGATACATGTGCTCTAAAATGCATATGATCACGCACGTTCGATTACATCTATGTGCATGTATGGCTATGTATGCTCACGTGTGTGCAACTACATATATGCAAATTTAAGCTTTCAATTAAGTAACAAAAACAAAATTTCTTAAGCAAAGCTTCTATCACATTTGTGGGACATGAAGTACTGATCGAACTCATTAATGAATTGCTATGATAAGCGGACACTAATGTGATATCGATCAACAAACTGTCACATCGTATTGATGTGAACGAATAGGTGAAACATTACAGAGACAGCGAGAAATTTATTTGAAATTATAAAGAAATTTTAAACAAGACTTTTAGAAACGGATAATCATTTATTTCCTGGGGAAAGGAATAGGAGGGCATTTTTCAGAAAGCAAAAAGAATCAGCTGTAGAAAGAAAAAAAAATTCGTGGCGATATTTTTACCAGCAACAGTTTATGAAAAAATCTCGTATTAAAATTTTAATTTTAAAATTTATCTTAAGACAAGCAAAAATACATTAATATCTACTTTTAAATATAAAATATCGAAGGATTAGATCTTTTAAGTGATTTGTTATCCTAATCTCAACAAAAATTATTCCACATAAAACAGTAGTGTTCTGATAAAAATTAGGCAAAAAGTTGAATTTCACGTGTCAATATTTTTCTGATTTCACCCACAGTCTGGCTCTGCATTGTAATGTAAATTTAAAAAAAATATCTTTTCAAAACGTTAAACTTTATAATAAACCCTCTCGTCAATTATTGTAAAACAATGTTCCGTTGAAGTATTAACTACTCACAGATCTTTATCAAGGTTGATGCGAAACCAAAGACATTCTCAGATGTACCATTTCATAAGACAATCTACCAATGCCCCAAAGCTTCAGGTTTGACACTGCAGAAGCGCCTCTCTCAGCTTTCTTCAAAAATAGAACTTCCAGAACAACCCCGCCATTTCCGAATGGATTCTCTCAGGCATGGAAAGATTTATTCCAAGCCAAATAGTCAGTGCCGGTTCAGGCATGAATATACTGCGACCACAGCTCTCCCTAACACCTCTATCAGAGGGAAGAGTTGTAGAAAATTCAAAGAGCAAGAAGTCCAAGCCAAAATTTTTTAAAAATAACACAAACTTGGATACTCTGAGTTCTGAAAAATCGCCCAAAACAATACTAGCAGTGGCAAATCATCAGTATTTTCCATTATAAATGAACCTAAGGTTATCTCATCCTCGTCAGATAAGGCTAAGCTTTTCGCAATATACTTTGCCTCTAACTCTACAACAATACTTCACCTTCAAAAATAGAGATGATCAAAGCCTGGCAGCTGATCTCTCCGTTGAACTATCTCTCACTGCTTACGAGAAACCACTTATTTAAACGTTTTGAATGCTATGCATGTGATCGGTAAACCATAACGTATATAGGTTTTGGTACTATCAGTCAATTAAGGAATAACGATTATACTTACTAGCAAATAGCATTAATTTCAAATGTATTACATGCAGAAACTATGAAATTTATCTGTGCATATGTACATACATTGTATATCTGAAATCGTGTGATGGTTTGTGTTCTGATAGAAACCAACTTTGACGAGGTTTATTTATATATGTAAAAAAAGGAAAAGCGTTCATATAATCGAGAATAAATGATGAAATTCATTAGATAAATCCATTAGACTTTTGCCACGCTAGGAAGCCATTGATCGATTTTTAATCAGTAAGCATTGGCTTCACTACATCTTTCGTCACTTTAAAATGGAACAAAGAGAGCGATATTCTAAACGAGACTCACACTGATGTCGGGACTTGCATAAGAAAAATTTACCTGAAACTGACATTCAATCAAATTGATCCAATACAGGCATGTACTAACGATTGAAAAAGATATAGAAATATAGATTTACACAAATCCATGTGTAGGTGTGTATTTACATTTATATATTTAACACGTACAAAAACTTTATGTATAAAAACTCATTAGAAAAACTTATTCATAAAGAATATTGAATTTTTTCGGTGATTACTTCCCGCTCATTTCTACAAATACAATTTACAAAAAACAAATTAAAAACGACACAACGACACACACTGTGAGACACGCAAAACGCCACATGCTGCTACACACACACACATACAACGATAAACACTTGTGAGAGACACACACGCGCACACAAAGAAGAACACACACAAAGAAACAGAGAGAGAAAAAGGCACAGAGCCAGAAGAACGAGAAAGCAACACGAAGACAAAGAAAGAAAGAAAGAAAGAAAGAAAGAAAGAAAGAAAGAAAGAAAGAAAGAAAGAAAGAAACACACACAGAAAGAGACGAAGAAATGCAAAGAAAGAAAGAGATAAAGGGAGGGAAAGAAACGAACAGACCCGAGAGAAAAAGAGGCGGAGAAACGCAGAAATAGAGGGAGACACAAACACAGTGCGAGAGAGACACAAAGACACTGAGAGGGAAAAAGACGAAGTCACAGAAAGACTGAAAGAAACAAAGTCATGCAAAGTGAGAGAGATGAAGACACAGAAAGAGACGGAAACAGAGAGGGGGATAGAGAGTGAGAGAAAGACGCGAAGAGAGAGAGATGCGAATGCAGAGAGGGAGTTAGAAAAATGACGCGAAGAGAGAGAAATAGATGAAGGCAGAGAGAGAGAGAGAGAGAAAGAGACTGTGGCGCACAGAGAGAGACGAAAACGCAGAGAAAGAGACGATGACAGAAAGACAGGGAGAGTGAAGCACGGTGTGTGAGAGAAATATATAGAGAGAACAAGAAGAAGAAACAGAGATAACGAAACGACGACAGAGAGAGAGAGAGAGAGAGAGAGAGAATGAGACGAAGACACAGAGAGAGACGAAAAAAAAAGAGAGAGAGACAGAGAAAGCGAAAGGCGCACAAAATAACATAGAGAGATATATACACAAAGAAACAGTGCAAGAGAGAGACACACGCAAAGACAGAGAGAGAGAGAGAAAGAGAGAAACCAGAGAGAGTACGCAAAGACAGAGAGAGACGCATAAAGACAAAGAAAGATGGAGAGGCACACACACAGACACACAGAGAGAGCGATACAAAGAAAGAGAGATAGACGAAACGATAGAGAGGGGGAAAAGACAGGGAGATAGACAAACGTACAGGAGAAAAAATACGCAGAGAGAGAAGGAGATGCAAGAATACAGAGAGAGACAATGTCAAAGAGAGAGAGAGAGAGAGAAGGATACAAAGAGGAACAGATAGCAAGAGAGATAGGGAGAGCGAAAGGCACAGAGAGCGAGAGAGATAGGGACAGAAGGAGAGAGATAACAACAGACAAAAAGGAAAAACAGAGAGATAGGGAGGAAAAACAGAGAGTGAGAGAGAGAGAGACAAAAACTGAGGAAGAGAAAGAATGGAAAACATAGAGAGAGGGGAAAACAGAGAGAGAGAGGAAAAACACCGCGAGAGTGAGAGGAAAATACAGACAGGGGAAAAACATCTAGAGAGAGAGAGTAAGACATAGAGTAAGTGAGGAAAACATACAGAGAGAGAGAGAGAGATACAGAGGCACAGAGAGAGAGACAAAACACAGAATGAGAGAGAGAGAGACAAAGAAAAAGAATGAGAGATATATAGAAAGAGAGAAACACAGAGAGAGGCAGGGAGAAATAGACTGGGAGAGAGAGACAGACAGAGAGGGAGAAAGCGAGAGAAACTGAGAGAGAGACATTTTATCATTACACCGCATGCAAGGCAACAAAGCCACTGAAACGAAAGGGATTATTGGATGTGAAAGAATAGAAGAAAGAGAAAAAAAATAATTGTTTGAAGATCAAACTTGACTGGAAATCAAAAAGCCAGGAGAGAGTTCCACAAGCTCGAAGTGTGAAAAAAGAAACTGTTAGATTTACGGTTACATCGAGGCATTTCAACGGTAAAATAATGAAATCTTGCAACCAATCTAGTATTGTGCTCAAATTCATTAAATCTAGGTAACATAGAGGAAAGTTCATCAAAACAATTACCATGAAAGTATGGAAAAGGCACAGGTAAGTAATGTTACAGCGGTGGGAAAGTGACTGAAGCTGAGATAGCAGGTAAGGGCTAATGACAGTGCACCAGACGATATGTGGCAGCAATATTCTAAGCATGAATGAATTATAAACAACTTATAAACATGTTGGATTCGGACGAGAAAAATTGTCCAGCAAGACACAGCGAACCAACTTAGCAGCTCAGCTAGCACTGGATTCAAAATAGCCTTTCCTTTTCATGTCAGCTGAGACCGTTAGCCCGAGAAGGACCCAAACAATCACTCTCCTGGAGGTTAGCATCAGTCATGCTGATGGAAGGTAGAAAGGTTTCTCTCAGACAATTAACAGAGACATAGACAGCGAGAAGGAAGATAGAGAGAGGAGGTGATGAACAGACAAAGATACAGAGAGAGATGGAGAAAGAGATATTGCTGTAGTGAAATGAATTCGACGCTCCATTATTCTGGTTTGATTTTACTCTTATCATTTTCCTCCTTTCCATATTTCTTTAGTAATCTTATATTGCATATAAGTACACATCTGCAGACACACCAAATTAAATATTTTAAACGCAGTAATACATTATCCGATTGTTTCGATACAGTCGAATTGACAATAGTTGGTTTTCACAACAACAACAAAAAAAGAAAAAACAACATAGATTTGCAAATCTTTTATGACAGTATTCTTAAACAAGGACACTTTATGTGTAGTCTCTTTTAGGGGACTTCTGACTCTTATTACTTTTCAGAGATCATTTACGGCCAGAGAAAACGACGTATGTTTTTATACATGTTTTAAGAATGTATATGTTTACGAAGTATTATATATTTGAGATTATTATTGACTTAAAATAACGATGAACTCTTTATTTCCTTCAACTTTGAAATTAAATTAATGATAAATTCTCTTACAGTTTACATTTTCTCAAACGTAATCATTGCAACTTGACACCAGTGAAGATATATAGGTCACTTTGGATAAGATTAAAGCCTGGACGTGGCCCAAAATATCTTGTGTCTCACAGGATACGATTCCGTTACTGCTACTGTGTAATAATCAATGTGCGTGTGTACGTAAAGAAAATTCACCAATAACTGCAAACTGCGTTTTCATTATAAAAAATTTTAATTCTCTACAATTTCAATTTCTAGCGTTATTAAATCACGAACAATTTTCTTTTAATTATTTGCAATTAATAATATTTAATTGTAAAATAATTGTGGAAGTAATTGAATTCGAACTGTCTTTGCTCTTTGAATCTGCAGGACAGATACCGAATAAAACTGACATGTATAGTGGTAACCAGTCTGAAATTGGATAAAATTATACTTGGAGTCATTTATATATTATCTGCATATGCAAATGTCAGTGCACCTTATTTTGTAGTTCCGTATTCACGGGTGAAATGAGGTTTATCTATTGTAATGTAAAAATACACAGATTAGAACATCACTTCTTTAACAATATGAAATACCTTAATTTATCTAAGCTTCAGAAGATTTAATCAAAACCCCAACAGATGTTTTACTTATCCGTGTGCCTTTTAGATGCCTATTTTGCCAAACATATTCATATTAATTTAGATTTTATTGTGCAATTCTAGGTTTTCATAATAAAATTAGGATCAACCAATTACTTTTGCTGCAATTTACAGGGTATAATTATATGAGGCATATATCACATGACTTTCAGTATATAATATGTAATCTTAGTAATAGTAAACATAAGTTTAAGATTTTTCAGTTATTAATACGCAAAAAAGTAAGTGCAAGATATTTTTTATCTTTATGTAAATCCACTGAAACATTTGATTAACACAACATACTAGAGATAAGTTATTATTTTACATGTTAATATGAGCTACTTGATATTCTCTAAATTTCATTAACCATTCAATTGCCGATTTTAACAGTTTTTATTACTTTCCAGGGAACATTTTTCTTGCATATTGTCTTCCATTCCTATATATATATATAATAGACTGCAATGTTTCTATTGAATTTCGTAGCTAGTTATCATTCCATTAATTTGAAACTTTTTTGTTAAGTCAGTATAATTGAGCATTGCCTTATATGATGATACTTTTTAGTATAAAAACATCTTGTGATTTGTACCATTCAATAATGACCTATCTATGATGGGTGCACCTATAAACCACTATATGACCAGAGCTTAGTATCTGATCTCTTTTCTCACCTAGTTCTAACAGATTTTCTTGATTGTCAATGTACTGTTATATTACTCTTTTGACTTTTAAATTTACGTTTTTGACATTCTTAAAGTAAGTTATTTCCTCCGGTTTATTTTTTATCCTTCTCTGATCTCCTTACACTTTTACAAAATTTCTAACATGAAATATATTCTGAAAAAATAGTAATATCGGTTGGTTAAAATGAATTTTATTGTGAAAATATTAACATATAATAAAATCTGAAAAAATGTTTGAAAGGAAGTTTCTGAAAACACTGAAGTCATCAGTTACTTTACTCTTACTTTCTCTCTTTTACAGAATGCAGCAGCTAATGAATAAGATCACAATAAAAAGCCGCAACATTTCGAATTGAATTGAACTCAGTTGGGTATTTCTGTTTGGCAACAACATTTTACTTTAATTTCTTTTTCTATAAATTTCACTGTCTTAATTGTTCTCACTTTCCGTATACACTCTAAAACTCTAAAATATCTTCTTCGTATATTATGCATTATGCCAACGTAAGTGTGGGTGACATGGAGACTATTTTATGCTGTCTATGTGATGCATATGATTGACCATCGGCCTTGTCTATTCTATACTTGGAATTACATTTTCTCCGTTTTGATGAGGAATAATACCGACTATGGTTGGAAAAACTGATTTTTGATTTGATTGTCAGTCCTTGGTTCAGCCGTTGCAGCTGAAGAGTTCTTTACCGTCATTTTCTCCAACCAAAAAATTCACACTAATATAATTGACGCAGGGAAAAAATCTATACTTCGATCTAAGTGCCCAAAAATTTGAGATACGTTAATAACGTGGAGCTTGTCTCTTCGTTTGAATAACAGCTGCTAAATGACGTGGCATTAAATATAGAATGTTCTAGGGTTATTACGTACTAACAAACCAAGCACATTCAACAGATCTCGTTAACTGATTTGCGCTTCTTAGGCGCAGTTGCAGGACATTTATTTCGGAGTGCATCATTTATGATACATCCTCACTGGAATTGAAATCTAGCAGAGAAACATAGCAAGCATAATGATTATCAACAAGATTTATGTATGTTTTGGAGAATTGACTCGTGTGACCAGAAGACAGAACACTAGTTTTTCACCATCCGATGACGATGGTTTCTGGCACAGATCAGTTGCAGTAGCTAATGCCATAATGTCAATAATGATCCCCTTGTTGATAAGTAACCGAATGAGAAAAATAACCATCATAGCAAATGTGACAAAGCCAGGGGAATGCATGTTTCTAGCTAGACTTGTATTTACATCATAGAACCTATATGCTCATCTCCTGCGCTGTCCTGGGAGATAATGACGCTCTGTTGTTCAATGATGCGAACAGGTTCTGCCTTCATGCAAGCAACGGTCGTTTGCGTGTGTGCTGTAGACTAGAGGAACATCTTCTACAGACTATTAGTTGACGACACATGATAGGTGCAAAATGCGTGTAATAATATCTCGTAGGATAAAATTCACCGTAGGTATGATCGTATTCCTTAATCCATCAGACAGGTCTGTATACAGTGTATTAATTTGAATCTTTATAAATTATAATTTAGATTATTTCGCGGTATTACCTACGTTTTACCTTGAACAAAATCAAAGTTTTAGCCCACATCATTTCTCAACAACGTCTTTTGCTTTTTAATCCCTTTTTGATCACACTGAAAAATTTACAGGTTTTGGCCATTCTGATCATACGGTAGTGTCTATAAACATTTCCTTCCGCTACTCCACCAGCCAAGAAACTACTACCAACAGAATATCTTTCTATTATCAACGAGCAGATTTACTCGTCCTGTGATTTCTTTCTTGGCGTCGCTTGGAAAGAAATTTTAATCATCATGTTCAAAAATTCACGCCTGAGATCTCCTGTGTGGAAGCCGGCATCGATGCTTTCATTCCAACAAAAAATACCACGTTAAAACATATTCATCTTCTTGGTTCTCACCTGCACCCTCGGCTGTTATAGCCCACAGGAATCACTTTTTTCGGCTTTTTCACGTCGGATTGCAACAGATGTCTCTTTGTCTCTGCTCGTAATGAGTGAAAGCGTGTCCTCAAAGAAGCTAAGTTACTGCTTGCTGATACAATGAAACAACGTACAGCACCTCACAAGTTCGGTTCTAGAGATTATTAACTGGGACAGGAAATGCCTCTAAGACTAAACAGCTCTCATTTAACCACCATAGAGAAACTGACTGATGCCCGAATCCAGGAGAGTGTCTCACTGTGCCTATTTGGCCACAAGTTTTGAACTACATTGAATCAATAGCTGCATCTACTGCAAGGAAAGTTGGTTCATTGTGTCGTGCCAGAAAGTTTTTCTCGTTCGAGATCATCTTGCACATTTACAAATCTACCATTCGTCCGCGCATTGATTACTTTTGCCATATCTGGTCTGGTGACCCTGCTGTTCATCTCGAATTCAGTCTCTTTCCCACAGATGTGATGTCGCTTCCCTCTTCATTGCCTACAAATATTT